AAGAACATGCTCAGCATTTCTCAAGCTGAAAGAACTGAGGAAAAAATTTAAGCCTTGAGTTGCAATACTGAAAGATTCTATGGGCAATATATTGAATGATGCAGGAAACATCAGAAGAAGATGGAAGGAATACACAGAGGCACTGTACCAAAAAGAACCGATCGATGTTCATCCATTTCAGGAGGTGGCATATGATCAAGAACCAATGGTACTGAAGGAAGACGTTGAAGCTGCACTGAAGGAAGTAGTGAAAAACAAGGCTCCAGGAATTGATGGAATACCCATTGAGATGTTTCAACAAATGGCTGCTCCACTGGAGGCACTTTCTCGGCTATGCCAAGAGATTTGGAAGACAGCTACTTGACCAACTGTTCTGGTTACCTAGTGCCACTCTGACAGGAAATATACCACAAATGGGATGGCCTTAACAAACAGGAGTTTATTCTTACAATTGGAGGCTTTAAGTCCAGGTTCAAAGTGCCAAGCTCTAGGGGCTGGGTGAAAGCCCCTCAACCTTGGGGTCCAGCTCTGCCTTCTGCTCCCAGTCCACTGGAGATAGAGGCGTTTCTTCACTCAGCTGTTGGCTGCTGAGGCTGAGAGGCCCCAAGGTTGACAAGTAAAAAGGCACAGTCCTGATGTTACCACATGGCAGGCCATTAACTTAAGTCCACTGTAAGTCCCAAGGTCAGCAGAGCATAGCAGGCTGCTGAGCAATGACACGGCTACATGCAGGATCTAAGCATGCCTAAGGCTAGAGACCATTCTCAAAGCTTTTCCTTATATACAGGAAGCAGACCACATGCCCAAAGGCAGCTACTCAGCTGCTCACAGTAGATTCCACCATGGAGTTGATTACCAGTCTCATCATGGGGAATACTTCATCCAGCTGCCCAGCCACTCAACCAGGCCCAGCTAAGTTGACACACAAACTGAACCATCATACCAATGGACTGGAAGAGATCCGTATTTGTACCCATTCCAAAGAAAGGTGATCCCACAGAATGTGGAAATTATCGAACAATATCATGAGTATCACACACATGTAAAATCTTACTGAAGATCATTCAAAAATGGTTGTAGCAGTATAATGACAAAGAACTTCCAGAGGTGCAAGCTGGATTCAGAAGAGGACGTGGAACAAGGGATATCATTGCTGATGTCAGATGGATCTTGGCTCAAAGCAAAGAATACCAGAAAGATGTTTACTTGTGTTTTATTGACTATGCAAAAGCATTC